TTCCCCCCCCCCCCCCCACTGTAATATGGGGCTAAGATATGGGAAAGGCTGTGAAATACTTGTTTTCTCCAAAGATTGTTTCCTGTTAGTTCTGCCTCTGCCAAGGCCCTGTGAAGGCAGCTCTGGAGATTATCATGCTGTGCAGAGATATCTGGCAGAGATTACTCGAGCTATTTCTCCTCATTTCCTGACCAACTGTGGGCCTCGTGCCTGGGAATCAATTGTGACCTCTCTCTGTGGATGCTGCTACTCCAGAAACTAAGTACAGTTCCCTTTCCTTTTGTGTAGCTCTGTGGATAGCAGCTATTGTGGAGTTTTTTGATGTTTACCCCTTCTCATTTCTAAATGCAATGTGGTTTCTTTCTCACTGGGGTTTGGTCCCTGGGATACAGAACTGTTTCTCTCCTCACTCCAAAAGCCAACTCAGTTCTCCATTTCATCTGTTTGGCTCTTAACCTCTCCTCAGAGATATAACTCCATCCCATCTTCTTGTGGTAGGGTTGCCATGCAGCATTATTCCAAAGATACCGTCAAGCTCCCCAGTGAGAACCAGCATCTGACTGTGGAGCCCTGCCGAGGGTGTCCTCATCCCCACACACAGCACTGCTAACTCTCACAATTTTCTAGAAACCCTTCCTTATGATTTTTCTTTCCGTCATTTGACTACATGAAATCCTCAGCAGTCATTTTAAAGAAGTAATCTCTGCCCTTAAAGCTGGCTGTGAAGAACAAGCCATACTTCAGATGGGTAACAGAAGACAAATAGAAAAGAAACGAACGCTTGTTGTTTCTCTAAGCCTGGTGAATTTTAAAGTAATTGCATAATTTGGGGGAAAGGAGGTTGATCCATGATTTTTTTTAACATCTGAGGTTGGCAACACCACACAAATGAAAAGAACTATAAAACTGAAAATGACAATTTAGCAGAGATTATGAATGTGCAGGCTATGTTGCTCCAAAACCTTTTAATGATAAGTCTACCTGGCTTCAGAAGAGAGATTTCACTGAACTAAAATACCATGTTGGCTTTTTTTTTACACCTTTGATTCAGTG